GCAAAGACTTTGTGCAATGCAATGTTTATAATCGCTGATTGGAGGATAATTATAATGATCAATATCGTTTGTTAACTGTTTTAATTTTCCACCTATTAAAATAAGTTTAAAATTTTGATGTAATGTGCAGATACACATGGTATGTGTACATGGACATCCTGCTAAAACACAGTTTTTAGGTCGTAAGAAAGCAAATCTACTCAGACCTAGCTGTATATCGTTATGAGTCTTTTTAAAGTGAATGAAAAGTTCTTTAATATTACATAAAATTAGTCTTTTCTGGACTTGATCCTTTTCCCCATTTACTTTCATTGATATAAAATTATTTTTGCCTGGCATAAGCCGACTATTTTCTTCAGAATTATAAAAAATTTTTAATTTCTCCATAATATCTTCTGAAATAATACGACTTGGCTTAATAATATTGGGATTCTAGAGAATAGCCTTTTCCCTAACTAATTGCTTGGCTGTTCTGGCCATAAAATTTGTTGTGGGAAATTCTTCTTCAATTTTTTTAACAGTCCATGATTTTGGTAAAATTGTTAAAATTAATTTCGCTGCGAGAAGTTGTTATTAAAAATTTTTCTTTCAATTGATTTATGATTTCAGATTCATATTTTTTAACTTGATCTGACTCTGAATTTATACTAAAAATATCCTTTTTAATCTTTTTCTGAATTTTAATAAATTTTTTTGTAGAATATTTTTTTTCACTAATTCGCTTTTTTTTAATAGGAGTCTCATCTAAAAACGGTAATGTCTCATTTAAAACTTCTATAGAAACATCTCTATCAATGTATTGTTCGGGAATTGTGGAAATAGATGGTAATGGTAAGTCATGTTCCGTGGATATATTTTTTAATTTTTTTCGGCATCCACTGCAAATTTTATCTTTTAGTGTTAACGACTTGTTTTTTATAGTTGAAAGGATTGGAGCAGTACAAAATTAATTGTGTTCATTAAGTTAAATAATTGTGAAATTAATAAAATATTTGTTATTTGAAATTGGATCGATAATTTTTATTTTTTTAAGAATTATTATTATCGATTCTGAGAATTTAGTTTCCTCCAATAATATAATATGAATTTATTATTTTTTTCGTTTAATAATATTATCGATTTTGAGAATTAGTTTCTTTTCCCCAATAATATAATATGATTTTATTATCGATTCTGAGAATTTAGTTTCTTTTTCCCAATAATATAATATAATTTTATTATCGATTCGGAGAATTTATGTTTCTTTAATATAAAAGAAAATTATGATTATGATTTTAAAGAAGTAAAAAGAGCTAACACATTAGGGGTTACGAAAACTACAATTGAAATGAATTTATTTCAGACAAATAAAGTTATAAATATGTTTAGAGTTATTTTGTCAAGTAATTTCTAGTTACAATATTACTTGAGTATTAAATAAATATCCCAGCCACTTCCTAAAAGTTTTCTTAAAGATAAAAAAAAGTAAGGGCCTATCATTTAGACATAATTTTTAAATAAACATTTCATAAGTATTCATTAAATGAAGATAATATGTTAAATTTGATCAATTTAAGCCATATAAAGGGTTATAACTCCTAGACCCATTTTCATCTCAATCTAGGATTTGGCACAAAAGCAGTGTAATATCTATCTACAGGAAAAAAAATTGAAAAACTACCTTTTTTTATGGCCATTTCCGGTTTTATACATTCGGTCATCGATATTAATAATATTTCTATTATAATTATTTTTATGTCATTTTAAAGAACTTTTATTAAGCTACAAAATAAAATTTAAATTATTTTTCTAACATAATTATTTCTCGAGATATTTGAAAATAGTACCATTTTTCCGCGCTTTAAACTGCCATATCTTAGCGTGTAAACATTGTTGGAAGGTAAAATTTCATTTTTTTTTAGTTATAGTATATACTACCAGTATACAAAATTTAAGAAAAATTGAAGAGGGTCGGGTTGAAAATCGACTTTTTTTTGTTGATTTGATATGGAATTCACCATATACTATATTACAATACATTAATAAAAAAAATCATATTTTTTTTAAAGTACAATTTATTCAAAATGAATTAAGATATGCCTTCTAAATCAAAATTCTGTTGTTCACATTTCAATTTTCTAATAGATAAAAATAAATCTGATTTTATAATAGACGAATGCGGAGCTTAAAGTATTGTGACACATGACTAACGCTTCTATTCAAATAAATATAATTTTAAAGCAAAATAAATAATTCAAATAAGGAAACCTTCTATTTCTTGTAAACATCTGAAAAAGAAAATTTATCGATTTATAGCTTATATAAACAGAAAATTAGCATCAAATGGGTACAAATACTTTAGTTTATGTGTTTAATCGCGGTATATGGAAGAACACTTCGTTTATTTGATTATTTAGTGCTAAGAATAATTAATTCTATTATTAAGGGATCAGATTATTGTAAGTTCCGAAAATGAGAGGTAATATTTATTCATTAGCTTCCCAAATTCATGCAAAGAAGTTCAAAATAAAATGTTATACCTAAAATTAGATATGATATGATTCAATTTTCTATAATATTAAATTTGATTAAATTTTATTCCTAATGGAAAAATATATAACCATTACCATATTTATAAAATAAATGATTACGTAAAATATGTCCCTGTAGCCAGAAATATTAGCTTATGGGGAACAGGATGGGACCAATATTTTTTTTAAATATATTATCATATACAATCGAAATCTTAAAACAATAGTATAAATGACTAGTTCTGAGCGTTTCATATATTTTTCTTGGCGATTCATTTTTAAATATGAGCATTTCAATTTTATATCAAGACAATTATTTTATACAGGTTCGTTTTATTTTTGAAATTTATTTCTATAGCCCAGGATAAACAGATTTTGAACTAAGATACCTATTTTATTTTATTTTAGTTTGTTAAGTCTGTATTAAATAAATATTTTGGTTTGTAGTTTAGGCTGTTTAGAGGAAGCAAACTAACTACTGTTTAGTATAATATGTTGAACCATGGCACGGCCTAAGTATTTATTCTGAGCGTTTAAGGATTTTTTTTCAAATCATTTCAGTTTAAATTCCGAGCGATTAAATAGGAGCCTTTTAATTTTAAGTTTATTTGACGATTATATCTTAGGTGTTTTATGTATAATTCTCAAATTAATAATAATAATATATAATGTGAGAATTACATTATACTATTTTTCTATTTATTTGATATATTAATGAAAATATTCATTTCTTAAAATGTTTCTAAATTTTTTTGACCACACAATAGATTTTACCTAGCAATCCTTTCATCTTACTATATCCTTTTCCTTCATTATGCTATATCACAACCCTCTCTCTGCAATTTATCATACATGGTTTAAATATTGGAATAATCTTCATTTTTTGTTATTCTGGATATGTAGGAGAAGAGTTACCTCAAGGAAATATGGAATTCCCCCCCTCCCCCAATTTTTAATTGCATACATTTAATATTCTTTGCGGATTTAAAGCTAAAACTTTTCACATTTTGCAACATCCCCAGAACATTCTAAAATAAAAAATTATATTTTAGTAACAATTGTTTTTTAAATAGAAAAATTAATTATTATAAAAATTTATTTTTTAGTAAACAACATTCAATAACAACAAAACTTAACATGTGTTGTTCAATGATTATTAATCATAACAAAAATGATAATCATTAAAACCAGAGTTGTTAACGCTCCTTTTTAAAAGTAGCTAGCTCCCGCTCCTACCTTCTCAAAAGGAGCTAGCTCCCGCTACTACACTTTTAAAAGGAGCTAGCTCCCGCTCCAAATAATGGAGTGCCAAACCGCTCCTTTGATTTTCATTTTTTTAGAGGGTATACGAAATAAAATCTTATTTTTTTTTTATCAAAAAGCTTTATTTATATTAAATTATCTATCAAAATATTTATAACCTTTTATTAGCTAAATTTAAATTAGAATCTATCAAACATCCACGCCTCTCTCCTAAGACCTGTTTTGCAATACTAAATAGGCACTCCACAGGAGCACTAGATGGAAGCAGGGTATTGTATTTTATAAAGATATTTTTAATTCAGGGAATTTGTCAAAAATAGTAATTTTGGTATCATTATTTAAAAAATATTTGTCCAATATATTATCTTCCTGATGATCCATTTCATGGAATCCAAAAAAATCTTCCAAATAATTGCAAGGTTCTTGTGTACTATTAGCAATTATTGAATCAAGAATTTGTTTTCTTAAAATATTAATTTAAATTTTATTTCCAAATTTGAATGCAGGATGGATAATAGCCGCAATAGTATTTTTATCTTCCAAATTAATTTGTATTTAAAAGAAAAATTTTTTACTTTTAGATGCTTTTTTAGATTGGAGCTGCTCACTTTTGAAAATGATATACTTTTACTTGAACACTAAAGTCATTTTGCCCTTAAATTTGTTTGATCATTTGGATCAACATCTTTTAGAAGTTTAAAATATTTTTTGTATGATGAAAATGGAAATTCGATTTCTTCATCTATGATATCTAAATCCATAATATCTAAAACTATAAAACAAATATTAATATGACTTAAAAGATTTTCCAAAAAATTTTCAATATAAAAAAGATAACTTGATGTTTAATATTTAAAATGATTAGATGAAAAACCAATATAAATTCGGCTAAACATTTAATAATGGATAAATTTTAATTAAATAAAATTTCATTTTATTAAATTATTTCGGAAATAATTTATTAATATTTAAAAAATAATTTAATTTATACATTAAATTTAAAGGAGCGGTGGAGCGGCGCTCCTCCATTCCAGCCCTAAAAGGAGCTATCTCCCGCTCCCCAATTTTAAGTTTTTTTTGAAAAAAGGTAGCGGCGCTCCTTAACAACTCTGGTTAAAACCAATGAAATTTCTACCCAATATACACTTATACAGATTTAAAATAGATGTGAGATTTTGTGATTAATTAGAAATATAAATTTATTTACGTATTTCGATATTCTATTAGGCCCTTTGAAATTAGTGGAACCATATCTAGGTAACGTGATAAATTTTGTCGAAACAATTGCCAAAGACATCGAAAGTAGCGAAACCTTACTCATACATGCTTGTAGCCTCATAGGGTAACAATCTTTCTCACTTAATTATAAATGCATATGAGTGAACTGTAACCTATGAATTAATTATATTATTGCATAAATACATACATCATCAAAATATAATTATATTTTATATAAATCGCTTATTTCGGTAAAAACTAGATACTTATTGGCTTCTTCTCTGCAGTCCTAAGTGATTTAACTGGTTGTAGTGGGTTTGGTGTCTAATAAAATTAAATATTTCTCATAATCTGCTCTTACGCTTAGATTAACCTGGCTCACATCAGGCCTACCATGAACGTGTAGTAATACACTTAGACGATATCTAAACATTTCACCAGTACTTCATATTGTTTTTATAAAAATTTGTGTAAAAATGCACAGTATCTGCATATTGTCATTAGTAAAAAAAAAAAATTAGTGAAGAATAAACCATATATATGGAAGAAATGAATAATTTTTTCTAAATATTTAAAATATTATAATTTGGGTATTTTTGTCCTGGTCTTTATGTCCACACTTCTGCTCAACATACAAAGGACTAAGGCTTCAAACCGGAACGAGCCGTTGTCTCCCATACGCGTCTGCCGATTGATTGCTTGAATGCAAATATAATGGTTTAGGAAAGGTACGCCCAAGCGTAAATTGATTGCATAACGAAAAGCGTCGTTATCTATTAGCTGGTTATTTAAAATACTGGGATATGAATCTAACCATTCATGGCCAGAGTTGTTGAAATTAAGAGATCTCAGGAGGGATTTATATTGGTGATCATCGCTCAAGTTGAGGTAAGCTAAAGAACGAGATACCAATCTTTTTGTTTCGTTGAATCTGGTGGGGCTGTGTTTGGTAAGACATTAATATTTCAACAACGTAAGACTTCATAAATTATCTTTATCGATGGTAATAATTTGCGAGGTAATATTTTTTACTGATAAGGTTGATGAGATGAAGGAAACAAGGGCTATACTTAATGCCGATCTTAGGCCTATTCCTCCGGATTTACGAGGGAGAGTTGCTTGAAGCCATGAGTTAAAATCGAGTTTGATGTTTAATAACTTTGTCATCATTTATAGTATCTTTTGTTCATATTTTTTTAAAAGAATTTCAAAAGAGAAGGCACCAGAAGTTTTTAAACATTACTAGATTTGTGGTATTAAAAGGGCGTTTTTGAGAATGTAATATTCTTGATGGATGGGTAATTTTTTTAAGATAGATAGTTTGGGGAATAGTGATTTAAGGTAATTATTTAAAAAATTAAAAACTCCCTCTGCACCTCCCAATGGGGCTCCTAATATACTGAAATCTTGTAAGGGTATCCGTCTAAAGTTATCTAATATGGTGTCTGTTGGAGGCGGAGAAGGATAAATTTCGCATTTATTTATATTTAAGGATAAATTAAGTTCATCAAAGTGTTTGTTGATTATATCTAGACAATTCTGGATTGAAGAAATGGTCCCCGATATAGTACAATCGTCAAGGTACCAAACATGTGGATTGAGTTTACATGAAAGAGGAATATCACTTATTAGGTGTTTAAGGATATAGCAAAAAAGTAGTGGTCCTAATGTGTCACCCTGTTGAAGGCCTTCTGCAGAATAAATAATATAATCATTAAATTTGAGTAAGGAAGGAATGCCATAGCTAAGATGGATGTAATTGTGGTAGTCAGTAAATGTTTCCAAGAAAGTATCGATCATTTTATTCCTATTAATTGAATTAAAGATGTCTAATTTTGCTATATAATCTACAGGTTTGAGGTTGGATTAGTCGACTGCAATGAATTGCGGCTTCACATCCTCCTTTTACTCCAAATCCCACTTGGTAAGGAGCTAAGCTTAAGGTTATTGTAGATTTGAGTCGATTACAAATAATTTTTGAAATGGTTCGTCGGTAGAAAATTCCAATAGCTATTGGACTCACTTGATTTTCAAGCGCAATTAGTCGAGCACATTGGTGCTAGTTTATGTGGTAATTTCCCGTTGATAATAAGATTAAAAATTTTCGTTAAAGAATTAAGTAGAAATTCGGAACTGTCTAAACCCAAGAGGTCAATAATAAATGAGGGTCGAAGGTAATCCAGTCCTGGAAGAATCGTTTGGAAAAGATTTAATAGCGGTTAAGGTTTCTCCGAAAGTGATATTTATCTTTGAATTTATTATAGGTAGACCTTTGCGCCGACGAAACTATCGGCGGCCGGCACAATTTTCAAAAATCTAATCGACAGCTGACGGCGCGCCGATTTTTAGCCGCCGTCATTAAAATCGGCGTAAATCGGCGCTGTTATAAATTTTTATAACATAAATTTTTTTAATTGCTTATTAATTTTTTTTAAAAAAACAAATAAATATGCACTATTCTACAGATATCTCGGCATATTTTTTAATATTCATTTAATAGAAAACTTATAAATCGATTTCGTAATTTTATAATATCTTGTATAAAAATTATTTTATTTAAATTTTCGGGACATAATGATGATCTCCTTGAATTTAACGTCAATCCAGCGGTAGAGAAAACTCTTTCACTAGGTGTGCTAGTCGCCGGAATGCAAAAAATTTTCTTGTCGAGCCTGGAAAGATTCGGAAGTTCACTCTTCTTTTCTCTCCAAAAATTTAGAACCTCCATATCTTGTGAATCTCGTTTTCCAAGAAAACTGTGCATTCTTGTTCTAAGTCACCTAACTTGGAATCATAATTTATATTTGTTGAATGTTTATTTGCCAATTTTGTCAAATAACTTGAATTTAATAATTCATCTTCATCCTCATTAGCTATATTTACTACCTGATTATCATCATTCTCTATAAGTTTAAGATGTTTTATTATAAATTCTGAAGCTGAGCAATTTTGCTCTATTAAATACTTTGACACAATTGTCAATTTTTAAAATCTTGGATCTAAAAGAGAAGCCAATACCTAGTTAATTTTAAATAAAAAATAAAAGAATATACTTATATAATATTACTTGCAGATTACAAACCGGAAATCGTAACGCAAGTTTTTTTAGTATATTTTCCTTAAGTGAAATAATTTCAGTACTATCACTATCATTTAATATTAAATGTGTTTCAATTTCACTTCTAAAAAGTAACGCCAGTTTAAAGTAGGCCCTTTTTCTACTGAAAGAAATTCGACAGTTTCTTTAAATTTTGAAAGAAATGCTAATAGTTCTTCTACCAGATCAGATTCATAATTTGAGAAAATGCTTCCCAATTCTTTTCAAAACATTATTAATTAACAGATATGCTTTCTAGCTTAATTAATATACAATGCCAATGTGTTGGGTTTGGGACATTTAATTTTAAGGTTTACATATACATGGAATTATTGTTATTATTATCATTGGAATTGCCAATTTGAAAACGGGTAGTATGGATCAATGCTGTCAAGATCTAACATGTCTGATGTTAAATCTATTGTACTTAGACATTTTCTTTGATATTCCTCGAATTCAAATTCAACTTCTGCAGTTTTATATCTTAGAGCAGTAAAAAATTTTCTAATTCTTTCGCAAAAAATTTCCAGACTATGGTTTTTTTATTATCCAGAGTTAGCTTACTAAAATTATTTATAAAATTATTAAATTTAGATACATCCATTTTAAAAATATGTAAAATTATGGTGACTTTTGGAATTAGGATCGTTGATATTTGATGTTAATTTTTCAAAATTAAGATCAAAGTTTTCAATTCTTTCTTTGATGGTTTGGCATAGTGGGGTTGGATTATCTTTTGGTGGATTTGATAATATTAATATTGGGAAATATATTAATTTTCTCCAAATTAGATCTTCTGGATTTTGTAAAATATTATTAATGATTTTGATATAAAAAGGATAAATTAATTTAAGGGCTGCTTTTGGGATTCGTGATATGGTAGGGCTCAAATAGCTATATTATATAATTTGATCAGAGGTGTTAAAATATTTAGATACTATTTTAAAGAAATCTATAACTTTTAAGATACATTTTGATACTTTTATTTAATTATTTTTTACATTAAAAATAAAAATATTTGAATGCAAATATCATTTTTATGAGCACATAATTTAAATAAATATATATTAAAAAAATTTATATAATATTAAATCTTATATAAAAAAATATATAAATATTCGTTGAATATTTTTTTTTCTTTTAATATCAGTTAAAGATTATGAAGGATATTTTTCTCATGAATCCACCAGACTGTAATTTTTACCAGTGATGAAATAGCCAATGCTATCAATTCTTTCAAAAAAAATTCATCAGGTGGTCTTGATGGTTTCAGACCCTCCTATTTTCAATACTTAATTCAAAAAATCCTTCCCATAGTTCTGTCATCAAGTTTTGTAATAACATAATTAATAATGATAACCCAATACAAACTCACCAAATCCTTTTTGTGCACCTCTAATTGATTTATCTAAGCCAGATGGTGGTACCCGTCTCATTGCAGTAGACTCCTTTTTCAGAAGATTAATAGCCAAAATTATAATCAAACATGATGCTGTCAACATATTAAACTCTTATCAGCTAGGTTTTGGGATCAAGGGCGGCTGCGAAATAGCGGCTCATACCTTAAGAATTTACTTAGAAAACCCGCCACCAGACTCTAATATGTAAACATTTCAAAAATGTCTTCAATAGCTTACATCGTACCTCATTTTTTAAATTCTTTTATGAAACTTTTCCCTGTTACTCTAAATTTATTGAATCTTCATATGGCTTTCAGACGCCTTTGTCATATGGATCTTTTAAGATTTTATCCCAAGAGGGCATCCAACAAGGGGATCCATTAGGACCTCTTTTTTTTTGGAATCCATTATCTCATCTACCAAATCAAACAAAATTTCAACCTAGATCTTAATCTATGGTATTTATACGATGGGACCATCTGTGGCTTCAGCTAATGTACTTACCGCCTTAAAACACCGGAAATCAATTCCCAAGCTATCGGCCTGGTACTCAACATAACAGAATTATGTTTCTTAAACAATATGCCAAGTTGGAAGGCTACATTGCTCCCGATAGTTTAACTCTACTTGGGCCCCAATTAGCTAATGCTACCAAGTCAGAAGATTTCCTTCATAACATTTTTAAAAGCTTTTACAGCATGGATCACATTCTATGTCACCTACCAGCACACCAAATTCAATACGCAAATGCCTTTATAAACCTAAATTTTTGCACATTTTCCGATCATAATCTTTTTTCAAAAACAACGAATTTATATCTATAATTCAGGATAAATTTAAAATATTTCTAAAAAAAATTTTTAACATGAATTTAAACTCATTCAATTGGTCACTTGCTCAGCTACCTTCGGAACTAGGCGGTTTATATTTTTTACTCAATCTTTTATCCTTATCATCATTCGTATCATCTAGATTATCTAACAATTCTATGATTTCTGGCTTCATATGCCCTACCGATCGTTTATTAGACGACGCTATTGACAAATGGAAGGCAAACACACTCATTAACACCGTATTACCATCAATCATCACGCACAAAAAATTTTCACACCTTTAATCTCGAAATACCAATCAGATATATCAGTCAATCCATCTTTAGATTGCATTCAACTCCTTCAATTATCTGACAGACTTGGTGGTCATGAATCGTTAGAATCACTCCCTAGTCGTAACCTTGGTAATCTCTTATCAGATGAACAACTGAGAGTAACCATTGGTTTGCGTCTAAGTTGTGACATCGTACAGTCTCATGCTTGCATCAAATGCTACCCGTTGATTTAAAAAGTAGGCATGACCTTAATTGTATATTTAGTCAAGGGCGACACCAACGCCACACAGCAGTAAACCATGTAATAAATAGAAGCCTAACAGCTGCCCACATTCCGAACAATCTTGAACCATCAAACTTATCTCAAGTAGATGGCTTAAGACCTGATGGTATGACAACCATACCATGGGCCCTCGGTATATCACTTATATAGGATTACACATGTGTCTCATCATTCCCTTCAAAGATAAATTTCAATTTAATAACACAGGCAGAAATTAAAAAGACAAACAAATATAAAAATTTTAAAAACTTCATATTCACTCCAATCGTGACCTCTACGAATGGGCACTTTTTGCCATCAACATTTATGTCTTTAAAAAATCTGGGTAATAAAATATGACTTTTCACAAATGAACCCAGAGAATTCTTTTTATTCGACAAAATTCAAATAGAAATTTTTAGACACAATTATGGTTCCTTTTTGGGGACTCAATTATAGAATTTTATTTTTAATTATATAATTATAAATTTATAAATTATATTTTTTTAACTACGTTTTATGTAAAAAGAAATTTAATAAAATCAAGTATCATCAAAAAAAAGAAGTTTATCAAAATACCTCATAAATATAAAATTATCAATTGACGAATTTTATATTACCCTTTTATACTCTAATTTAAATATATATTTTAAATAAGGGATTTATGCAATACCTTTGGCCCTAAGGTACAAATTTTGATAGACACGGAAACGTTGAACAAATTTTTTATCTCCATGAAGAACGTGAAAGATAAAAAACACAGGGCATCCATCAGCTGGGCATTGCGACAAATCAGACTAGTCAAAAAATGTGACATTAACTCTATTAAATAACTCGCATTAAAACCACAAACAAGCGCGATACAGCTTACGATATAATATTAAGATTGGAGAAAGCTTATTAACCTCTATTGGATTATTAATCTGCCATATTTTTATCCATTTTTTTTGATCTAATTATTTTATCAGATTATTATTGTTAATTTTTTTGAATCCTATATCGTTAAATTTTCAAGTTAAATAGAAAAATTAGGAAATCTTTATTGCCTAAAAAAATACATAAATGACTTTCTCATATAAATTATATAATATGTTATGGTCGATATTTTAAAATCTTACATTAATCAGATTTTTGTAAGTTCGAAGTTGTTTTAAACCTAAATTTCCGATTTAAGAATTGCATTTATTTAATTTTTGTATTTCTCACTTTTCTTTAAAAAATGAATGAGAAATGTTTTGTAATTTTATAAATTTATATAAATAAGCATACACTATAAATAATTATCTATGTATCAACCCTTTTGCTTAACCTTTTTTTCACATTTTAAATAGCTACTCCAATCATAATAAAAATTGTTACTTTATGCCGTCCCATAACTGTTAATCCATAATTATCTTTTTGTAAAATAAAATTCTTATCCTAGTTAATGTTATTTGGGAAAAATCTGAAGTTCATTTTTAAGTTAGAAGAAAAATAATGATGTCATATTTATTATTGGCATCAATATATTATTCTGTAGTATTTTTTGACTACCTCAAATGCAAAAAAGACCTAGTTTTTTTATAATAAATATATAAAATTCATTAGTGATTATGAATATAAATAAATATTTTTTCTAATAATTTAAATCCATGTAACAAAGACTATTAATTGAGAAGTTTTATTTCTAAAGAAATTAATTTTTAATATTCTTATTAAATGTCAAAATTATTTTTATCAACATAGATAATATTTAGTACAGAATAACACTAATTTCAAAATATAATAATGAACCTTTCATGAATCGATAGAAAAAAATAGACTACAATATCATAGATGAAAGAAATAACTACTCATTTTTACCTATAACAAGATTATATATTAATCAAAAATGATATTAATGAATTAGTTATCTTCGTTTTTCTCAACAGGACTGATTCTAGTCTTATTTAGGGTGAAAGGGATCTTCAAACTGCCCCCCCCCCACCCAAAAAATTTTTTTTACAACTGCCTCCCTCCCCCATCCTGACTATAAAAATGTAATGGGAGAGAAATAACAGTTGTTCAAGCCACTATCGGTTTTAAAAATCTATATATTCATGTCTGCAGAAATATAGCGCCAACGCACTTCATATGGAGAAGGATAAAATGTAAATGTAGTTAATTTGATAGAAGAAATGATTAAGATGCCAAGATTCAGAAATAGGGAAAATGAGCCTTAGCTTGCAAAAACAAAATGGATAGGTTAAATTTTTAAGTTATTCTTATTGCATAAATTTTACACCTGATTTAAATCAAGTATCACCAAATAGGCCAACATCAAGTGGTGTTAAAAAGCTTGATGAGGAGGTGTATTGTTTTTATGTAAAAATAATATTGGCCTAAAGAATTATTATTTTGTTTGAAAATCAACATATAAAATATAAAAAAACTATTGTGTACCAGCGTCTAATTCTAATTAAGTAAGTATTAGTGTATTAGCATACACCAACAAAGTTGTAAAAAGTGGTGCCGTTCTCTTCTAGAAAATAAAACGTTTTTGCAGCATAACGACAAATAAAAACTAGCTAAAACTTTATTATCACAAACCATTGAATATTATAAAGACGAATCAAAGTGGGAAATAAAAGGTTAAATGTTTGTATTTTATTAGGAATTTAATGCAGAGTTGTTAAGTTTGGCACTCCCGGAGCGCCGCTACATTTTTTCAAATTTAAAAATGAGGAGCGGGAGCTAGCTCCTTTTAGGGCTGAAGTGGAGGAGCGCCGCTCCACCGCTCCTTTAAATTTATGGTATAAATTAAATTATATTAATAATATTTGTTAATTAAAATTCCATAAAAATTTTATTCTATTTAAATTTATCCATTAGTAAATGTTGAGATGAGTTTTATATTGGTTTTTCTTCTAATCTTTTAAATATTAAACATCAAAGTTTTTCATTTTTATATTAAAAATTTTGTGGAAAATCTTAAGTCATATTAATATTTATTTTATAGATGTATAATAAAAAATAGTTTTCGATATTATGGATTTAGAGATCATAGAAGAAGAAATCGAATTTCAATTTTCATCATACAAAAAATATTTTAAACTTCTAAAAGATGTTGATCCAAATGATCAAACAAATTTAAGGGCAAAATGACTTTAGTGTTTAAGTAAAAGTATATCATTTTCAAAAGTGAGCAGCTCCAATCTAAAAAAGCATCTAAAAGTAAAAAATCTTTCTTTACGAAATAATAACTATTTTTTTTTATTTTAGAATATTTTTTTTAAAAATGTTTATAATTATTTTTGGGAAATTCATTATAGTTGAGCTTGGGTTGTTAGATATGATGCTTTTTTGAATATATTTTAATATTTATTTTAATTTTCTCATTACTTGTTCAGCCTCCTTTTTTATACCTGAAAATATTGTTATAAAATACAATAACCCGCTTCCCTCTAGTGCTCCTATATATAGAGCACTTATTTAGTATTGCAAAACAGGTCTTAGGGAAGAGGCGTGGATGTTTGTTAGATTCTAATTTAGAAAATTTATTATTTTTAAAGGTTAATAAAAGATTATAAATATTTTGATAGATCATTTATTATAAATAAAACTTTTTGGTAAAAAAATATGATTTTGTTTCGTGTACTTTCTAAAAAAAATCGAAATCAAAGGAGCGGTTATGGAGTGGCCACCATTACTTGGAGCGAGCTACCTTTTGAGAAGGTAGTAGCGGGAGCTAGCTACTTTTAAAAAGGAGCGTTAACAACTCTGATTTAATGTATTGTTTGATAATAATTTTAGATATAATTGCATTAGCTTTTTATCATTTACTATTTTAATAAAATTATTAATTAGTTTATTTTTAAAGAATTTGTAGGGTTTAATAAAAACTTAACTATTTTAAGATTAAAAATGTTTCTCAGTTAGGTATTTACTTTGGAGTGGCAAAAATTTTAATATTATGGTTTATAATTTATTTTTGGTATAGAAAAAGAAATGGAGCAAATAAAATAAGAATGTTAAAACAAAGATAAATAGAAATAACTGAAAAATTAGATAAAAATTATTTAATAAAATGTGTGATATGAAGAAAAAATGGAATATTAAAAACAAATATTTTTAGCAATTCTGAAAATAGAAAATTTGGAATTATTATTAATAAACAAAATATCATAAATTCTGAAAAATAAATGAAATTAAGACGGAAATAAAAATCTGGGATTTGAAGATAATGAAATTGAAATAATAAATATAAAATGTATGGTAATAAAAGATAGAAATTGAAGATCTTAAGAAAAAGAAAATTGTAAGCAAGGATTTTAATGAAGAAAAAACCAAAGAATTTTAAAAGATATGAAAATAAAGGGCATAATGCAGAAGAATGTTATGCTCCGGTATAAAAGCTATTAGGTAAAAAACAAAAAAAATGTGGAATTGGACATACTTAAGATAAATGTTAGAACAAGGACATTCCAAACTATTTTCAGCTGATGAATATGTAAAAATGAACGGAAAAGTGCATATGAAAGAAATAATTTTGGGAATGCCACATGCTTCAAATGTCGAGAAATTGAGAATTTTTCTAAAGATTGTCTAGTTGGATGACTGTATGATGGAAAAGGGGATATATTAGGGAATCGCGTCGGGAGATTCTTGGAGGCAAATAAATAAGAGGGATGCGGAAAGGGAATGGAGTAGGGGTTTAATATACAAAGTTAGTGAAAACGACGTAAAAGAAATAAATCTGAGTGGGAGGGATGATGTAATTGTGGAAAATAATAAAATAAATCTGGAATGGTATAAAAAGTCAGGGTTGCTAAAAAATAATTTTTTAGAAAGAATTTAAAGGAAATCGAGATTGTAAGTGATGTAAGTCCAAAATTGATGGTAGAAAATGGTATGAATTTTGATTCATGTCCAAGGGTAAAGGTGACTGTCGGAAATAAAGAAATAGTTATGTTATTAGATACGGGAGCGACGATCTCGGTTATGGGTTATGAGTTGTTAAGTAAATTGTGGCCAAATATAGGTATAATAAAAGATAAAATGACTGTAAAACAGTGATGGATCTGATATGGTAGTTTTAGGGAGAGTCAATTTACCAGTGGTGGTGGGGGTAATTAAACTTATGGGTTGTAGAGAAGGAGGTGGAAACGGTAATGGGGTGGAATTGGATAGTGAAAATTGGACTTGCTAAAAATTTATGAAATATTTTTGGGGAGATTTGAAAGTGGAAATATAATGCAGAAAGTAAAGGAATGTGTAATCAAGAAGAAATTAATACGAGGGCATTGGGAAGAAGGAAGTGTGAAAATAGAAATGGGGATCAGAAGGATATAATACATGGCATAAACGATACCAATGTGGGAATGGTAGTAAGCGGGGAAGGCAATTGGGTTGGTGGAAATATGCAAGTTGTTAAGAAATATATTCAAGAAATAGCTAAGGTTTGAAGTTTAAGGAGATATTTGGATGGGAAAATAATGGTACAATAAAATATCTGGATAATCATTAGTTGGAAGAAATAAAATTTGAAAGGGATAAATGGCTGGTGTTAGAAATTATACCAGCTAAATTAGTTAATATTTGAGTACAAGATAGTAGTGGAAGAAATTGAAGTAAATCAAAATTTGTCGGATTTGCAAAAAGCAGTTATGGATTTGAAAAATAAACATGGGGAAATTTTTGATAAAAAATTAGGTTAGTGGATTATGAGATGGATATAAGTTTAAAACGGGGGTGCTTTCCGCAGTTTTGTGCAGTGCGTAGAGTATTTTTGAGAGCTGAAATGGAGAAAGAACTAGATAATTGGGTAAGTAAGGGAATTTTTGTCCTATTGGATATAATTAATTAATCAACACCATCTGTTCCAGTGAACAAATCTAATGTCAGTTAAGAATTTGTGCGGATTTTCGTGTCCCAATCCATGAATAGTAGAAGTTATGTACCCGTTACCACGAATGGAGGAGATTTTGGCGAACTTAAAAGGGGCAAAATAGATTTTTCATACAGTTACCCATGAAAGAGTCTAGAAGGAAATTATTGCCAATAACAACGTTTAAAAGAGTATTTACTTTTTGTCTGTTACCGGTTGGGTTAAATGTTTCAGTCAATTTTTCAGGGTACTATGCTGCGGTTTTTCAGGGTTTAGAGGGAATTTTTTATTATATGAATGATGTTTTAGTTATGGGGATAACGGTTGAATAACACAATCAGAGATTGGAGGATGTTTTTATACGTATTCGCATCATAGGTGGCACAAACGTACATCTATTAACGAAATCTCGAGGCTTAGACAATATTTTTCTGGCTAAAATATTGAGTTAGCCGTTTTTAAAAATCTGTTTGAATCGAGCCGTTTAACAACACTAATATAGGTAATTGAGGAAAAATGTTCAATTTGACTGGAAAGATACTCAGGAAGTATCATTTGAAAAGTTGAAATTGGAAATTAGTAAAGAACCTGTTTTGGTATTTTTCAATAGTGATTTGAAGGTAATTTTAGCGGTAGATGCATTTAACAAAGGAGTGAGAGGAGCTTTATTACATTGGATAGAGATAATGGACAGACCGACGAGGGTATTTAAAAAGGTGGAAACGAGATATTCAGAGGCTTTGGCGGTTATATTTGGATTGACAAAATGTAAAGAATATATGCTTGCTAAGAAATTTAAGGTATATACTAATCACAAACCTCTCATTCATTTGTTTAAAAAAGGTAATAAAAAATTAATGATGTCGCCAAGACTTCAGCGTTGGTTATTGTTAGTGGATATTTTGATTTGGAATTAAAGTATAGGTAGGGAAAATAAAATCATTTACCTGATGTTTTATTTAGGAGTTGATGAAGAGGTATGTAATAATATTATAGAGGAGTATAAAGATGGTGAAAAGGCGTTGATTCGCACATTAATGTGGGGTTTTAAGGGTAGTCCTACTATGTGAAAGAAGATACAAGAATATACCTTGAAAGATAAGGAATTGGCTTTGGTGAAATTATGGTTAACAGGGAAAAAGCCTTTGGTCGATATAGGAAATAAGTATAAAAATATAGAGGCTGAATTCATAATAATTGATGATTGTCTCATGAGAGATACCCCGACGATTAAGAAAAAGGATTTTAAATAAGTTACATGGTTATCAAGGAATAGCTAGAATGAAGCAATGGGAAAGGGAATATGTATGGCTTGAGGTGAATTAAGAAATTAACAACTTGGGTAAAAGTTGTCAAGTTTGCAATGCCGGATCCAGTATGCCCCGAAAGGGAAAAGATGATAGTTGGCCAAAGATTAGAGGGCCTTGGGAGAGGGTTCACGTAGATGAATGGTAGGGAAAAAAGGTATTTTTTGAATGTGGATTTATTTTCTGTGGATTGAGTTAAAGAGGTACATGGTTTAACCACATTGCAATAAATATTTTAGCAAAATTGAATTCCCAGGATTATAGTGTCTGATGAAGGGCCGGCTTTTGTAAGCGCTGCATTCAAGAATTTTTACATTAAAATAAATGTGAGACATATAATGACGCAACCGTATCATCCCAGCTCGAATGTGCAGACTGAACGGATGGTAGCGATTGTAAAAAATTGGTTAAAGAAAACTAAAGAAGGTAAAGCAGAGCTATTGGGTAGCGCAGTTATATTACAATAGAGCAGTAGTCAAGGATGGCAGATCACCGGTAGAAAAAATGATGGAAACGAAAATTAATATGTTTTTGGATATGTTAAAACCAGTTGCAACGTGTTTGAAATTGAAAGTTAATCTGAGTTGAATGTAATTAATCGATTAATGTGGGTTCGGGTTTATGGAAATGAAAAAAAAATGGGTGAAGGGAGTGGTTATGAGAAATATAGAAAATAATGATTAGGTCTGAGGACAAGGATGGTATAAAAAGGAACGGGAAAAAGTGAAAATATATATAGAAGAAATGTAAATAATAATTAACTGAGTTATGAAAAATAAGTTGAAATTAAAAAATTGGGAAAAAAAACAACGGAAGATTGAAGCGGAAAGGTTGGAAAAAAATCAAAGTACTTCGGGGTTACATGTTGTTATTTATGTTATATCGTAGGAAAGTTTAAAGATAAATATATATATGAGTTGGGAATAAGCGATCTTAAATCAAAATATTGTAAAAGTTAAGTAATAAAATATGTAGAGAAAAAAAAGGAGAACACATGGGTTGATTTAAAGGGAGTAATATGAATTATATAGAGAAATAAATTAAGTAAATGTGGTGTGTAAAAAATGTAATAAATTATGTGAATTTATAAAATAGGAAATAATAAAGATTAAAAATAGAAAAATTTGTAAGCGTAAAAATTGTAAAAAAGGTAAAAAGGGGTTAAGAAATAAATTTTATGATTAAAAGAAAAGTAAAAGTAATTAATTAGTAGAATTGGTAAAACGGAAAAAAAATATAGTTAAGAGCAAGGAGTCAAAAACTTAAGAAAATTAAGGAATATTAAAGGAAATTGTTTTATGAGATAGCGACTGGAAGGTGTTGATTGAATTGTATGCGAATAGCAAATAATAAATATAAATATGTGTTTGAATAATAAATATAAATGTTTATTGTGATATATAAAAAAAAATTTATGTTGGAAATTTAATTAAAATTAAAATGTTTTTTGAAAGTTTAAGTTGTATGAACATGGAAACTTTATTAAATCTGAGTCTAATATGATCCAAGTAAACACCATAAGCATGAAAAACTTCCTGGGCAACAAATGGCATGACTGCTGGACTCAGCAGCAAGATGTGGACATACCAAATGAGTCGAGTCGGTTCAATCAAGCTATCTAGACATCATCCAGAGGTCCGTCACACAGAGGACTGAACTTGTCTTGTTTTACATGCGGAGGACTGGGCCACAAGTCCATCGAAGAATGATTCAATCACAAACGTAGATGACCAGTGGACATCACCGATGGCAGCAGAATGGACTTCCCCGGAGAATCATGGCAGTTGCTCATCCAGTAGCAAGAGAAACAGTGTCAATATTAACAAAAGAATGAGGAAATGGAGCGTTGCAACAGCCGAGGTGACAAGAAGTAATACGACCGGTGTAACGTGTGAAAGTGATCTGTGAGATTTCGAAATCTCACGCAATCACTTTCACACGGATGGGTTGTGAGATTTTGATGATAATGGCCCCCAATGTTTTTGAAGCGATAAATGCAAAAATTTTCATGACATGAATTTAAATGATAATATAATATAGAGACAATAATGGTATAAAACCTAACTGTTAAATTATAATCTATGTTTTAGAATAATATTTTAATAATGCTTTGCAAGATATATATATCGTTTCATTTTAAGAACTCATCTTTATTTTTTTAAGATCATTAAGTCGAATAATGAGAGCTGTAAAATCAAGGAACATCATTAAAGTTAAGGATATAAAATATAATATAGAGACAATAATGGTATCACACCTAAATATTTAATTATAATCTATGTTTTAAAATAATATTTTAGTAATGCTTTGTAAAATATATTGTTTCATTTCAAGAGCTCTTCTTTATTTTAACATCATTAAAGTTAACAATATAATAAAATTTCTCTTTTTGATATATATAAATTTAATTTAAAAGAAGATTATATATAACAAATAAAATTAAGTATTACAAGGTGTGGTGGGTAGTCTAGTTAGTAAGACTTACATTACCTATCCTCAAAATGCGTGTTCAAATCCATGTAGAGTACATTTTTTATTTAAATTGTTTTTTTTATCTATCTTATCTAAATAGTCGCCGCCTCTCTATAGTTTTAAATTTAGCGAAAAGATTTATTTAACCTGCCCTCGCTCTCACTTATAATTTTTTTTATATATATTTTGTTTTAAAATTATTTTATGGCTGGTTTGGCTCTTTATTTATTTTAATGTATTTTTAATTAAACATATAATATGGAATATTATGAAAAACTATTTACTGTTCTGATCATTTTGCCTGAAAAATATCAAATTCTCCCAAATTTTTAACCCTCTCGCCCAATGTTGAAAATATTTTTTTTAAAGTACGGACGAAAAAACCACCCAATCCAGACCTCTAGTTCAATTAATGATAGGAGGCTCCAATCAATATCATAATTAAAGTTTAGCAATATTTAGGTAGGGAAGAGATCCTTACTAACATGCTAATTTACACAACATGAAATTTATAAAATAACCAAATACTCCGATCCCATGATATTTCTTATACAAACATCTTCTCGATAGACATTAATTTAGACAAAGCTCATATATGACAGAAAATTTACTAGAGGCAAACCGCCTTTTCTACCCAACCCTCTAAAAATCACAGCAAAAAACAGTAAGATAAATTCTTAGCTTAAATGGCTTAATCGTAATGCTTATTTTGTTTACCTAATATAATGTTATAAAGATAATCCATCTCTATATTATTTTGTACTGAATTGGGTCACAAATATTAGATAAAACTTTATTTAGTATAAGAAAATAGACGAAGAACTTTATTGATATAAATATTTATACATAATTTTAAATTTAATAAAAACATCATGGAAATATATATAATTATTATCATATATTGCATATCAGAATGTAATTGAATATTATTTATAAACTACAACTTTCATAAAAAATATATATATAAGGCGATAAATTATAATATGAATGAAATATAATTATATATATTTATATAAAAAATTTTTTTTAATAAAAATAATAAATAGTGATTAGATGGAAGATAAATCGCAATCTAAAACATTTTCAAAATGACTCCCCCCATTTTTTATATAAATAAAATTATTATTAAATATTTTAATATTGTCGCGAATATAAAATGGGTCATATCGGGCCCATACAAAATTATCATTATATTTTATATAAGTAAAAATAGCCGTATTTAACATTGTGGCCATCGCCCTGACTTCTGTGTCAGAAGCCCATATCTTCTGTGTCATTACATTATTTGAGACATAAGTTTTTATCTCTATTTTTTTGTTCGTCTCGTAAAGATAATTTTCAATTACCTTTCCCATCTCGGATGTTAGCATAAATTGTGCCAACCATTGCCTGAGAATAACATGGGAATTTGGAGCTCCAGTAAGCTCTACACTAATCGCCCTAAATTATATAAATTAAATAAAATGAAATTTTATTCTAATATGTTTTACCTATAAAAACAATTCCCATCATTTTCAATTTGCACCAGGATGGTGGGTTCACCAAGTTGTTTCCCATAGTCTACATCCCGACAACGTTTGGGAGGCTTTAAACCATATATTTTAGCATGATATTTTTTCCATACCTTTGTTGTAGGAAAAAAATATCTAGGGATATTTTCTAATAAAATATATATTAATATAATAAAATTCAGTTAAAATTGATATTTTTATTTTATTACTTCATAGCATTGGTGGGTGTTGACAATGATGTATAAGGCTTTTACAACAGATTTAGCTGTTTTATCCTTAATAGGAATAGCCATTAAATATTTTGAAAAATAACATATGGCACATAAAATATATTTGTATTTTTCCTTGGATTCTGGCATCTGGATTAAATCGATGCCAATTTGATACCAAGACTTTGGCACAACTTTAATATTGTGTAAAGCATTTGAGGTTTTATCAAAACGACTGCTTGATTTTTGACAAACCTCGCAGGATTTGATAAACTCTCTAACACTTTTATTGCTCCCCAACCAATAAAAGCTTAAAAAAAATAATTAAAAGAATATTGCAAATTTTTACTTTTCAGCTATTATTTGATTAGTTTTATTAATCCCCAGATGCCCTCCCATAGCAATACCTGCAACTGTAGATACACCCCCCTCATGTATTGTTTTAATTATTTTTTTTTGTTCATCTCCTGTCAGTATAACTTTTCTTTCTTCTAAAATATCATTAAATTATATATAATAATATTTGTGATGCAGAAAAAATATATATAATTAATGGCTAGAATAATAAACTGCACTTAATTTTGTCATACAATTTTAGTTGTATATATTATAATACCTAACTTTAATAAATTAATTATGCAATCATTTATAAGCCCAATATACATTATAATAAAAGTATCTAACATTTACTTTTCATCTTTATGTGATAATCTAAATTAAATTTTTGTTGTAAAATAGCATTTAATAATGACTATATGTAAAATTTTATTAAATGTTCTTACATATATATATATATACACTTACATTTGCAGCTATAATTAATTTTAGATGAAAAAAAGATAATAATCAATGGTCTGAGCATTTTTCAATGTTAAAAAATAATATATTGCATTAAACTTATAATGGCTAATTTTAATAAATTAATCATGACATATCTAAAATTTAATTTCCCCTAAAAGTATCTAACATTTACTTTTCATTTTTATGTGATAATCTAAATTAAATTTTAGTTGTAAAATAGCATTTAAATGACTATATGTAAAATTTTATTAAATGTTCTTACATATATATGTATACACTTACATTTGCAGCTATAATTAATTTTAGATGAAAAAAAGTTAATAATGGCCTGAGCATTTTTCAATGTTAAAAAATAATATATTGCATTGAACTTATAATGGCTAATTTTAATAAATTAATTATGACATATCTAAAATTTACTTTCCCCATAGAATAATTGATTTTCTATAATCTTGAAGGCGGTTATCTTTCTTAGAAAATTAGCCTTATTAACATTTACCGGAATTTTAGAGAATACAAGGAAGTCATATATATCATTATAATTTGAGCTAAAATATTTCTGAAATAAAAATATATTTCCGTTAAAAATTTACTTCATATCATATCATATTATACACTGGGGAGACATCCCACAATTAAGTGGGCACTCCACCACCCCATAGAGGGCGTCTCCAGTGCAGTGAATTTGCATTCACTGTTTGGCAGAAAATTTACCCTACTGTCTGGGCCCTGTTTAATTTGAGTGGGATGACAGGTACCACTCGTGGATAAGCCAGGATCCACAAAGTTGACAGTAATTTACCCTACTGTCAGGGTCCCGTTTAATTTGAGTGGGATGACGGGTACCACTCGTGGATAAGCCAGGATCCACATTGTAAATAATGTTTATTTATTATAAAAGATAAGATAGGAATATGTATTAGAAAAAGGGGGGGGGGGTGATTAAGGAGTAAAGAGGAAGAAGAATTAGTTTTTGTAATTTGTAACTTATTTTTTTTGTTTTCTCTTTTTTTTTTTTATATTATTGGTAATAAGAGATTCTTGTGTTAAAATAATGTTAATATCATATTGATCAAAGAGTTTCCTAAGTATAGTTGTTTTTGAAAGTAGGCCAGGAATGTTGTAGGAGTAGATTGTTAGATTTTTGAAAATTGACATAATATAAATTTTAAAGTAAATTGTAAGATAAATTTGAATTTTGAAATAGAAAAAAAAATGGGGAAAAAATAAGCAGACGATACTTGGAAAATTGAAAAAGCAAAAAGCAGACAAGAGAAATGATAAATAAGAAAATATCCATGAAATTGAGTTTTAAGAGAGGATTAAAGTTAAATTTTGTTTAAGAAAGAAGTTGTAATTATATTAAATGTTGATTTATATTATTTTGTTTAAATTAAGTTAATAAGATTAATATATAGAAAAAATAAATTGTTAAAGGAAATAAATAATTGAAATAAAAGATAAATAAATGGTTTATAATGGTACTTGCTAAACTTTATAGTAGCTTAGGTAAAGAATTGGAGAAGATAAGAAAGAATTAAGTTATGATGAATTGATTGAGATAAATTAGTAAATAAAGAAGAGAATTTATTTCTTTGAATCTAGAAAAAATAGAAAAATTAATGAATAAAAGTAATAACTTGACAGAGATATATTATGGGTTATGTATAATCCTCAGCAATTAAAAAAGAGTCTCATTACTCTCCCAAACATCTTCCATGCATTTGAAAGAATTTACTAGAGTTTTGATTCAGAAGAGTAGAAGTCAGGCTTTTCATGTCATAAAAAATGTATGTAGTCGCAAAGTAAATATTTAAGGAATATAGTGTGCTTGAAAATGAAATTGTGAGTGCGATTTAACATCAGCCATTTTCCCGCAGACGAAAAAAATCTCAATATAATTATTTTCATTTACTTCATAATCAAAAATAATTTCAAATTAAATTGTATTATATAGAAATATTTTTAATTTGACAGCCTCATTCAAATCTGACGTTTTTAAAGTATATTTAAATTAATAATGCGAGATTTTAAAAATATCTATGAGATTTTAAAAAATCCATGAGATTTTGAAATATTGAATAGCCGTGAGATTTTGATGATTTTAATGGCCCCCAATGTATTTGAAGCGATAAAAATCAAAATCTCATGAAATCACTTTAACACGGTGTCAGCCGTGAGATTTTGATGGTGTGAGAATTCGAAATCTCACGGTAATCACTTTCACACGTTACACCGGTTCAAAATGAAAGTGGGGCCTTTATAGTTCGGATATAGATTTTTTTTAGTTGTTTAGTTTAGAGAATATATATATATATTAGTTTTTAAATAATTGTTGTAAAAGTTATATATGGAAAAATTTTGTAACATGGTACCCCTTTTATGCAATATTTTTGTTAAATATGGTTTTCCATATTTAATTTAATCTAGTTTGCTATCCATCTTTTGTTTTACCTTAAATACACTTCAATTAAAAATAGTTTATTTATACCTCTTTTGTTTTGTCTTGGGTACATAAAAATTTTAAGTTTTTTTAGGTCTCTCTTTTGTTTGAGTTAAGCACATTAAAACTAAAACATATGGTTTTTGTGTTTTCATTTACTCAGGGGTTTTTCTTACCTTTGGAGTCCTTAAGGTGTTCATCAAATATAAGTTAGAATTTAGGTCCGGGAGATTGACCTGCATCCAGAGCGGGGGGGGGGGGCAAGGGGAAATTTTCCCCCTCTCTTCAGAAATTTATCACTTTTTGTGAATATCATTTTTAGCTAATAAAAAAATATCCCCCTTAGTCCTCTCCCCTCTTCCTGACCCCCAAAAATGTATGCATATATCTTAAATAATAATTTGAAAGAAAGATTGTAAAAGTTGATATTTTTTTATAGAACTATTCATCATAATTTATACATTTTTGGAAAAAAGCATTTATATATAAAAAAAGTGAACCAAAAATGCTTTTTAAGAAATGGAATATAAACCAAAGATAAGTCTTAAGAGAAAAGTGAAATGTATTATAATTATTAATAATAGATCCATAAAATTACTAAATAATATAATATATCAAATATAATTTTTTAAAAAGTGTGTAATTTTAATTTATTTACCTTAATTAAAATAACATATAATTATAAAACTATAGATAAAATTAAATCATAAATTAAATAAAAAAAGCACAATACAAACAGTTGAATATTATATGTCGTAGATTTACAGTATATCTAATTTTATCAATTATCATATGACAATTTACCAATATAGCGAAATATATATTTTACAGAAAATTATAAAATATTGATAAGGACATCAGAAAATATCTTTTAGAGACATTGTGGGATAAATAATATGAAAATTAATATCATATTTTATATAAATAAATAGATGGCAGTAAATAATTGAATGCAAATTGTTGCTAAATATATTGTCAAGAGCATTGAATAGTAAAATTTGTTAAAATATTAACTGTAATATATTCTCTAACTGTCAAATATGTCTGTAAAGAATTTTACCAAGTATTTTGTAACTAATTCTATATAATAGAGGAATATCAACTATATGTCTACTAACTTTTTATAAATAAATATACTTGTTTAGAATAAATTATTACCATGCGTTTATATTAATGTATATACAAGTAATTTATTATATTTTATATAAACTAATAAAAATATATTTCATATAAACTAATAAAAATATATTTCATATAAACTAATAAAAATATATTTCATATAAACTAATAAAAATATATTTCATATTTGTTCCAAGCTTATTTTTTTTATTAAAATTAACCTCCTATCTTGTAAAAATATTTTATCACTATATAGACTAGGGCAACCCGGCCGAAGGCCGGCCAAAAGCAGGCCGAAGGCCCGCCCAAAATGGGGTCTGGGTGCGAAGCCCCCAATAATTTTTTAATCCCCCCCCCCCTTAGCAAAATCCTAGCTACGCCTATGATCCAGAGGTATAATTTTAGTTCAGGAAATTAAACGGGGTGGGGGTAGGTTTTATCCACAACTATCTAAGATAAAACTAATACAACTCCTTTTCGCAATATGGTTCTTTTTATTACTTTGCGCTAATTTTACTTTAATTTATAATTTCGCGTTTTATTTTCCCTATAAAAGGGACTAATTGTTTGGTTTACAGGGTATACGTTTTTTTAGTTTAAAATATTAATTTCAGTAAGATATTTTATTGACGATTTTGATAAAATAATTTTGGTTTTATAAATTTTTATATAAAGTTTACATCTCATTTATTTATACAAGCGTTTTAGTTTTCTTAAATAATCTATAATTACCAGATCCCATGCCGAGGTGCCACTAGGGATGTAAATTTCCCGGGAAACTATATTTCGGGGAAATTTCCCGGGAAATTTGGGGAAAAAACGGAAAATAGGGAAATAACGGGAAACTATCTTTTTTATAATACTTTACAGGTCAATATTGATTTTTTTTATGTTTTATTGAAAATATATAGATTATAAACATTATAATTAAACAAATATAAATTATTTTCAACTAATTTGCAATTACTTTACATATTTTATTTGAAATATTATATATAGACTAAATAATATTTAAACAATTAATTTTGAATAGTTAATTATCTTCGTTTGAAGATGAAAATGATTCCAGATCAGAGCTTGAAATTCTGGAATCCAGCAATTTGTCATTTTCTGAAATTTCCTTTCCCATAAAATGTAGATTGGCTCTTATATGAACTAATTTGCGAACTTTGTCATTTTTTAATCTATTTCTAGATTTAGAATGAATATTTCCAAAGGAGGACCATATTCTTTCGGATGCTGCACTTGTGGTGGTATTGATAAAATTCGTATGGCTAGGGTCGATATGTATTGATTGCAACATAAACCTAATAAAATATTGAATAACACAATTTTAAAATTAGAAAAAGAGTTAAGTTATTGTTTACAGAAATATAAAAGTATTTAACCTTTCCACCAACTCACTGGATCTGTAAATGATGCGCCTTGCCAAAGACTTGCTATATTAAAAAAATTTTCCCTTGCACGATATTTGGATAGGTTTCCTATTACTCTTGCAATATCTAAATCTAGATATCCAGAAAATCGGTTACTAATATCCAACCCATTTGCAACTTCATTGTCTCTTAAATTAAATCCACAAAACCTTGGGTCAAATATATGAGCAGCATAATGAATGTCCCGACAACAAAAATTTTTTCGGCTTTTGATAAACTGCTCTATTTCTAAAATCTCGCTATGCGACAATATATTTGATATTGTTTTATAAGCGTTAAATGTCTCCCTGATATGAATAAACGCTTGAGGGACATCAAATAAATTGGCTTTATCTCCTTCCACTATCTCTATTTGCGTAAATATGACTTTAATAAAATTATATAGTTGCATTAGATCATTTAAAAACCCATCGTTATCAAGAAGAGTAAGTCTCTTATCTCGATCAGTAAATATATCAAGAATAGCCATTTCCTGTAAAATATCTTTATTTTTTAACAAGCTATTTATCATCAAAACTATACCTGCCCAACGAGTTGGGCTAGGCAACTTTAGGGAAACAATTTTATTATTATTTCTTAGGAGTTGTTTTTCTTTTAACGTTGATTAAAGAATATTGTTAGATTTTAAATATTTTATGATATTTTTAGCTTTTGTGACTAAAATTTGAATGGATAATATCTTATTTGCTATGTCCTTTACAAGTAGATTTAATCCATGAGCGGCACATCCAATGCATTCAATAGTTGGGTATTTCAGTTTTACAAGGGACCATGCTTCTTTCATATTACTTGCATTGTCAAAATTGACCAATAAGTTTTTCCTATATTTAATTTTAAACTTTAATGTTGATTTTCTCATTTTAAACATTTCCGCAAGTGGAGCACTCCAATTCTAGACCGAAGATATATATATTAAATAACATATATCACAAAATACAACCAGGCGCGTGCGCAGGAATTTGGTCTGGGGGGGGATAATAAAATTTTTTAAGAAATATTATTGTTACTTAAAAATACTAAGCATAAATTTATTAGGACGAATAACTTTTCTAATACACAATTTTAAACTAATGTAAATTAAAAAAATTATTTATATAAACCGGCATTGAAAAACTATAAAATAAATGTGAATTATAAAATATAAAGTGAATATAACCCACGATATGAATCACTTAAATGACCCAAAATTGAAATTTGAATTTTTTGAGCTTTTAAAATATATAAAGTTTAAAAAATTTATATGTTGGAAATATAAATTAATACACAAAAAGTTTCTTAGGAATAATTGTATTTTGTATGTTTTGAGCTAATTTTTCAATTATCTATCCTTGCATGGCGTTAAATGCCTTTGAATATTCAAAAGATCCAAATCATTAATATACTTTCAGATGTTGTATTTCATAGGTATGTTTTTCACAGACTTGCAGGCCCGGCCCCCGAGCCGGACCGTATTTTAATTTTTTTAAATATACCCTAGTCGGGCCCGTAATTTTTTTTAAAAAAAACATCCGGGCTGGGCCTGAAAATTTTTTTAGAAAAAATATCCGGGCCGAGCTGTATATTTTACAACCAAATATATGAAATCGCCATTATTAGCTATAAAAATCAAAAATAAATATAATTTATTTAATAAAAATTTGGGCCGGGCCTGAAAATTTTATTTTCAAAAAAGCCGGGCCGGGCCTGAAAAATTTTTTAAAAAAAACCAGGGCCGGAAAAAATTTTTTAAAAAAATCTGGGCCGTGTCCTGCAAATGGTACCTCTGCAAGGCTCTGTTATTCTTCTTATAAAAGAAAATGTTCTCTCATTAGTTTACTAAAGAGCTGCTAATATATATATATAACCATTTTAATACACTGGAGTATAATCTAAAATGTGTTTGAAATAATGCAAAGCATCCATAGCATTTTTTGGGACTGTATCAACCATAATTAATCTTTTAATC